ATGGAACATTAAATATTACTGTCAGATTTTTATCAAGTTGTACAAAACAAAACTATTGAATTGCAAATAATAATAAATATTTTCTTGAAACAATATTTTTTTAGATGCAAAACCTGAAAAATAATTTTTTTGTATCGTCCGTATGTTAATTTAACAGAAGCGAAGAAATTAGGTTTTTTAAGAAAGGAAAGTATTTTAAACCCATATAGATTTTTTACAAAAATTGTCCGCAAAAAATGACAACAATATATTTTAGTTCGCGGGCCACAAAAAAAGGCTTCGCGGACCGCCAGTTGGCCAGTAGATCATAAAAACCAATTAGACAGGGTTTCTTCCCTCCTTTGACTTAGAACCATTTTTTATATCATTTCGATTGCATCGCATACCGAGGATGTGGAGTCATTGTGAGTTTTTTCTTTTTTTTTTTTTTTTTTTNAAATGAAGTTTATTTTATAAGGTAAAAAAACTTATAAATGTTTAGGGAACATATAGGATAAAATACATATTAAACACCAAAACATTATAAATAATTAATTACATAAGAGATAAAATAAATTGGAAATAAGAGAACAAGATTTTTGTTTCAAATAATATTTCATTTAAATTTCACAAGAATTGTCAGAAACTTCCCTCTTCAGCAGAACAGCTGACAAAGACATGAGGAAGAGGGTTAGAACAAAATTTTTTATCAACATTATTTCCCAATATGTTTTCCAAGTTGGATTGTCATTTTATTTTCCCCCCACATGCATTTTTTCCCCAAGATTTTTATAATACTAGGAAGTTCCGCCCCTTGCTCACTTCGCTCACCAACCTTCGTAATAGCCACTCATACAACCTTGTTTTTTTCCTATATCGATCTTTTTTTTTAAAGAGAAAATATATAAATATTGAAATTTTATGTAAGAAAATTTTATTAATATGTTAATAGCAACAAAATTAACGATTGCTTGCATATGAAAAAAAAATCAACTGGGTTTGAAAAAAATAAATATCTAAACACCGGGAATATATAAATTTTTGATAAAATGAGAAGTAATTTTACTAGCTAACTATCTAAGAGATTTGTGTTTTTCGGATTAAATTCTTTGTAAACATCACCATTGTTATCATTGCAAAAGTTTGTTCCTGTTCTTTCCCTTTTTTTTTGACAAGATTTTAAACTGTGTTAATGCGTTTTACTCATTGCAGGGGAGTATTATATAAGTATAATTTTCTTTTTATCGACAGAAAATGTTTGCAGCTGAAATGGCCTGTTAACGGAAAGACCTTGTCATTGAAATTACCTACAGACCACATGGTTTCATTATCTCGCAGAGTCATAATATACCGTCTTTTTTTCCTTCCTAATTTCACCTGTCATTGATTCCCTACATCAAGAATCATTCACAATAGTTATTGCAATTGCTTTCGCGATGATAATCTACAATAATGTACACTAAAAATTAAGCTTAGAAATAAATGCGTTAAATATGACTAGAAAAAAATTGTGTAATATACAACTTAAATGTGTAAAATACAATTAATGTTTCGTTTTTGCAACGTGATGTGAATAGAGCAAGCAGTGGGCAATTTTCAAATAAAATGCTTCTTTATTTGAAAATTGCCCATGCTCATGTTTTCGGATCATCCTCAGGGATGTTTCCCAGACCGTCACCAATAGCCCATTGTGCAGCTCTAGTGTGACGTAAATAAACTACAACTACAACAACAACAACTCCGGCAACTTTAACATATTATTAAGATTTGCATCAGGCTAGGTTTAAAAAAATTTCATCTTAAATATACTAAATTACAAAGAAGTGCAAGGGGCATAACGTCTAATATAAAAAATCTTTAAACTAGTTTCAAAATTACGCATGACTTTGCCTACAAAATAGCAGTACGAAATGACCTTGTCGACGAAACGACCATGTCGACGAAATGACCCTGTCGGCAAAACTACCCTGACGACGAAATGACTTGTCAACGAAATGACCCTGTCGACGAAATGACCCTGTCGACAAAATAACCCTGTCGACGAAATGATTTTTCGATGAAACGATCATGTCACCGAAATGACTTGTCGACGAAACGACCCTGTCGACGAAATGGCCTGTCGACGAAACGGCCTGTCGACGAAATGGCACTGTCGACAAAATGACCCTGTTGACGAAATGACCCTGTCGACAAAACTACCCTGTCGACGAAATGACCCTGTCGACAAAATAACCCTGTCGACGAAATGATTTGTAGATGAAATGACCCTGTCTACAAAATGACCCTGTCGACGAAATGACTCTGTCGACGAAATGACCCTGTCGATGAAATGACCCTGTCGACGAAATGGCTTGTCGACGAAATGACCTTGTCGACGAAATGACTTGTCGACGAAATGACCCTGTCGACTAAATGGCCTGTCGACGAAATGACCTAGTCGATGAAACGGTTTGTCGATGAAATGGCCCGTCGATGAAGCGATTGTCGATGAAATGAATGCGATCCACCGAAACTAATTATTTAATCCATTTATTATACGAAATAATAAATTTGTGAGACAAAAAATTATGTCTGAAATGTATTCATAAAATATCTTGGTAAATGAATATGAAAAATCATAAAATATCTGGTTAAAAATTATCTTTGAAATCGAAAATCTAATTTAATCCCAGCGTTAAACGCATCCTATTCGAACGTTCAAATCGCTTTCACCAGCAAATTGTTAGGTGAAAGACATCCGATGGATGAGAGGAAAAATGAAAATCGCAACACTCGAATACGCCATCTGGGGAGAGACCGGTTTCATGCCTTTAGCCCAGTGGTCGGCAAAGTGCGGCTCCAGAGCCGCATGTGGCTCTTTGGCTCCTTAAATGCGGCTCTGGCACAAATATCCACGGAAGGCGCAATAATATTTTCATTTAAAAAAAAAACTTGGTAAGAAAAAATTTACATCTCATTTTGATAAATTAATCCGAAGAGCTATTTCGGGATTTTAAGAACAAAGCAGATATTCTGAAAACAGTTAAAGAGGTACCATTGTCTGCCAAAACCATTAAAGATAGAACAATTAAAATGTATTCGAATATAACCACCCAGCATATCGAAGATCTGAAATTTATTTCGGCTTAATCAATTGCAGTTGACGAGTCTTGTGACATAATGATACGCAAGTTTCACTTTCTGTAAGATTTATGTCTCATTCTGGCCCTAAAGAAGAACTTTTAGGATTATTGTCACTCAAAGGTCAGACGGGTGGAGAGGTCAGAAGATATCACAAATGCTGTAATTGAGTGTATGGAAAAACATCATATTCCCCTCGATAAAATTGTGTCGATTTCAACAGATGAGGCCAGAAGTATGATCGGCGTAAGAAAAGGGTTTGTTGCTATATTGAAAGAAAAAATTAATCACGAGATACTTGTTTACCATTGTCTCATTCACTCATGCGCAAACATTTCCGGATGAAATTTGTAAAGTTATGGAATTAGTGATTACCATTATCAACTCCATTTTAGCTAAAGCTCTTAATCATCGCCAATTCAAAGAATTTTTATTTGAAATGGAGAGTGAGTACGCTGATCTTCTGCTTCATAACAAGGTACGTTGGTTATCAAGAGGGAACGTTTTAGAACGTTTCGTGTCCCTTTTTCCGGAAATTAAAGCATTTCTCCTTGAGAAGGGAACTATCCACTATCCAGAACTAACAGACGATCAGTGGATCCAAAACTTTAATTTCATGGTAGACGTTACGTCTCATCTAAATCAGCTAAATCGTAAACTACAAGGGAAAGGAAACTTAATTTTTTCGATGTTACAAGAAGTAATAACATTCAAAAATAAATTATCCATTTTTGCTCAGAATTTTGAAAGGAAAACATTGTTTCACTTTCCGAGCCTGATGAAGTATCGCCAAGAAAATAATTCCTCTATTGATAAACACCATTTTAAAACAATAATTTTAAATATGAGGGAAGCATTTCTCAGCAGGTTTCAGGAATTTAAAAACAGCAGAGCAACTTTAGCATTTGTCAGAATCCTCTTAATGCTACGATAACCGAGTTGAAATTTTCTCCTTTTGAAATTGAAATTGGTAGCTCTTAAATACAATTGCTGGATTTAAAAAACAAGGAGATATGGCGCTCTAAATTCGAACGTCTTTGTGATGAATTGGAAATATTGGAGAAGAAAAAATTTGATCTTAGTTCACAACGCAAGTGGTCTGCTTTGAATGACCTGGAGAAGGAAGACATGATCATTTTCAACGCTTGGAATAGTATTCCTGACTCTTACGATCAGCTGAAAAAGCTCGCGTTTGCTGTTCTTTCCCTTTTCGGTTCTACATATATATGCGAACAATCTTTTTCAAGCATGAACATTATCAAGAGTAAACTGAGAAGTCGTCTTATTGATGAGAACTTGGAATCATGCCTAAAATTAAAAACAACAACATACAAACCTGACTTACTCAAACTTTCCAAGGAGATGCAAGCACATTGTTCGCATTAATAAATATTTATTAAGTATGAAATTTAGTTTTATTTAGTGTACTACTTATTTAGTGTAATAAAAGTTTACTAAACAAGCAGATTTGGCTCCCAATTTTTTTAAAAATTGTTGTAATGTTCATATTTGGCTCTTTGGCTAATAAGTTTGCCGACCACTGCTTTAGCCCTTCTCCCTCCCTCTCCTCCTCTCTTCAGTTGTATAGGAATGCACTACGATATTTTCCCTTTTCTTAATATTTTTCCTTTTTATTTAATAAAAATATTTTTTAAAATTCCCGTGATACTTTTTTTTAGAACTATGTTTAACGTAATTTTCAGTTCCATATAGTTTTCCAACTTAAAAGATTTTAATCTATGTGAAAATCAAGAGAGAAACTAACGTACTTCCTTCCTCTATGACTTTCCACACGCTAATGGGGAAAGCATGTGAAGTGTTGCCATAGGAAGAGAGTTCTGCTCTACGCCACCTGCAGCCCATTTCGATCGCCAAATCTCCAATCCTTTACAAATTCTTTCACGTCACAAATCGTTCTCAAAATAAAGCTATAAGCTAACGCATAGAGCTCGTCTAACTTATTTACTACAATAACTACGAAAGAGCGCGAGGCCTGAAGTAAAAAATATGCTTAATTTCTGGTTTGATAAAAGATGAAAAATAAGTTCTACGTTAAGGTTTTTTAATTTTTTTTCTGCTTTGTATAAATTTAAGTATCTATTTAGTTTTATTGTAGCTTTCAACAACAAAATAAACCAAGTGCAGTGATTGAAGAAAACATGAAACGCATATTATTGTTTACTAATCTTGAAAACTGATTTCTTGTTTGCTCTTATTGAGAACCGTAAATCGAAATAATAATAATTGGAAAAGTTTCATAAACAAGTTCTTTATCCAATAATAAGTATTAATTTTCCATAATCTGCATTAAATTGTAATCTCTAAATGAAATTGGATTTTTGATGAGTTAAAACAGTCAAAAACCTCCACTGAGTCTCAAATTATAATGCATTAAGTATTTATTGTAAATTTCAATCAAATAGGCTCTTACATATACAATAATCAATTATAAAATAGATATTAAAGTTTTTAGAAGAAGAGAAAATTTATACTTTTTAGATTGTTTTATTTTATTTGAGAGATTTCTTATCTGCTCAATGAATTTTTAAGTTGAATTTATGAAATCAAAAATATAGGGCAACTATTATTTTAGTTTTAATAATACTAATAAAATGGAAATCTTTTTTATTTATTTATTATTGAGGGGAAAGGGATATTTCTGTTTTATAATCTGTTGTCTGAACTACAATTTCCACGGTCACAAATGGATTTTAAACTCGTATGTTTTAAATAAAAATATATATATCATGTAGAGGCCTCCCCTTGGGTGTATACGAGTTATTCCCTTTGAGTTGGCTCCCTTCTGCAATGAATATCCAACATTCGGAAGGCTGAAGGGGACAGGGATATTTCTGAATCATGATTTATCGCACCAACTACAATTGCCAAGGTGCTTTATAGTTCTGAACTTTCTATTTTTTTTAATGAAAAATTTTGCATATGTTTGCCTGAGGATGGCTACGAGTTTTACCTTTTGAGTTGGTATCTTTCTGTGAATTTTTTTCCACGGGTTGCTGCCTGGAAGTTGGCAAGACTTTGTGCTTATTCTGACACAGATCACGATACGGAAACTGCTCTTAGGGGACATCCTGATAAATTTAAAAATGCGTCCCCTTTTTTCGCAAACAACAAAACTATTTAATTACATGCAAAACTTTTATTTGATCTATCTCAATTAGATTCCTTGTTAGAAATATTTTCTGAAACATTATTTTCTGAAGTCTAAATTAATGTTGTGGAAAAGAATTGGGGGAAAAAAATTATTTTTTTTAGGTGTAATTTACATATAAAGTAGTGACATGCTCTTTAAATACTATATAAATTTCATAACCAATTTGATTTAGGCCATTGACCCTAATTTAATGTAGTTACACATTTGTTGAATTATAACTAGATATTTTATGAAAAAAAAGGGCACGCCTTTCATCGGAAACTCATCCAGTGAAACCTCCAGGAAACGCCACGTCTGTGTCGGGGACCACTTTTTGGAAAGAAAGGAAATTTTTTCCATAGACTTTGTGTTGATGAAAGCCTTTGAAACTTCTCCCAGCCACCAGGAAAATCTCTGCACCAAGATCAAATAAGGAAACACAAAAAATTATCAAAACAACAAATATTAACGAAACCAATGAATAGATTCAAAATATTTTGAGTGGCACTTATTCAGAGATCACTTTTTGATGATATCTGAAAGTGATCAACAACCTCATGTTACAGTCATAGTGCGCTAAAGAAGATGCTATTAATGATTTATTTTTAAAAGTTAAATTAGAAAAAAAACCTTAAGCATTTCAAGCAAACAAATTTCTCACTTTTTTAAGGTAATATTTCTGATATAAAATTAAATGCAAACTTAGGCAAGAAACATAATTGTTTACTTATTTAAAACGATTATATCTTTCATAATTGGTACATTTGTTTTTACTCAATTAGGGGTCATTTTTATTTGCTTTATGTTTTATTCCTTCATCTGGTTTTCATGATGCCAACACGAGTGAGATTTCTACAATAAGTAAATAACACTGACTAAAATTAAAATCATTTGCGAATAATCATTTATCTTTGATAGCATTTTGAAGTCAATGGAGGTAATCCTTTTAAGAATGACCCACCTCCATTAACGACCACTTTCTCACTTCATATACATGGATTAATTTGAAGTTGGTGGAAAGAAATTTTTAAAATTATATATTTTCATAAATTATGCATATATTATGATAAGCTAAAACAGGGTTCCTACACTGTCAGGAAAACCTGCAAAAGTCAGGCTATTCTAAAATTAAGCTAAAAAGTCAGGATAGTCAGGATTTTTCTTACATATTCATAAAGTTAGGAAAATAAAAAAAAAACTATATTTCAATCAAAGACTGACAGGCAAAAATAAAGTTTCAAGGAAAAATTCTGTTGTTCAAAATATGTAATTTCCTCATAACATTCCTCTTTCCCTGGTAGAACCTGTCCTGTTAGCAATTTTCCTCCTGTTTATCCTATAGCAAAGGAATTTTTGATAGAGTTGCTAGATTTATTGCTCTTTATGTCAATAACTGGTTTACAGACAATAGTAGCTGAAACAACAGCAAAAAAGTCAAAAAACGAATTTTTACTGATTTGTGATGCTGCCAAAAAAAAAAAGAAGAGCAAAAGAGTTTCTTAGAGTTTAATCCACAGCAAAAGAGATTAGATAATTTTTTTTCGAAATATTTGCATGGAGAAAAATATGTGAATATTTGTGGGAGGTTATAAAAATTGTTCTTATCCTCTCGCATGGTAACGCAGCAGTCGATGGAGGGGATTTTCAGTCAATAAAAACTTATTGGTTGAAAACCTCAATGAAGACTCTATTATTTCACAAAGGCGTGTGTATGATTATGTTTCATTTATAAATGGAATAAAAAACATAGACATTAATGAAAAAATGCTAGATGCTGTAAAAGGATCTAGAACAAGATGGAGACATGCATTAGAAGCCAGAAAAAAAAAATGAAGGAATTAAAAAGCTGAAATTTCTAGAAAACTAATAAAAGAAAAGATCGATGATTTGAAATTAAGAAAATCTAAATTGACGAAAACTGCTGCAACAGAACTGGATGTTCTTGATTCAGAAATTGTCCAACAACAAAATATGTTGAGAAATATTATATGACATAGGAGCCCCTGAGTTTCTCCGCAAGCTTACAGTATTACTGAAATAAATTTAAAAATACAGTACAGAACCCGTTATCCGGAAATCAGAAAACCGGAAAACCAAAAAACCGGAACGAAATTCGATAAATTTCCCCGCCATTTTTTAATTTTTTTTTTTTATCCTCATAAGATTTTAGGATTTTTCTTTCTTTTTTGAAAGACACCTTACCATCATTTTGGAAATAATCATTAGTGTATTACTTCATCGTTTTTTCTTCTTTATAAATTTATTTCCAACTATTTCTGTTTTTTTTAGTTGGGTCTAACAAAAAAAAACGGCTTTTTGTATCGATTCAGAAAACCGGAAAAATCAGTTATCCGAAATAGCGATGGTCCCGATCGTTCCAGATAATCGGTTCCCTACTGTACTCGAAAAAAAAGATATTTTTGATTTTATTTTTCTCACAACTTGCATAATTTTTCTATCTGAATTTATATTTGTATGTAATTAACTTTTCTTGACTTTTTTCCCCTTTATATTTCAATATTATCTTTTAAAAGAAAAGTCAGTTTTAAGTGAAATTGTGATTTTTAAAAATTAATATTTTAATGTAACAATTGTTGTATTTTTTAAGAGTAAATATTATTTGAGGAAACTGATGCATATCTCGCAGATTTTTATATCCTGACGACACTCATGCATTTGGTTCCACTTAACATTAAGTAAAATAATATTTCCATAATCCAACAGATTATCTTGATCTTTTATTTAAATAGTTATTTAAATACTACAAAAACACACTAAAAGTTTAATCTAATGATAATTAAAAATATGTTTCACAAGTTTTCTGAAAATATAATTTGGGATATAAAGTGCTATTACGCAATTCCACTTTAATGTATAAGTGTTTATCCTATTCAATCTATGATACTTATGACTGAGTAGCATATTATAACTAATTGAAACTGCAATATTAAAAGTTTTGTTGGAGTGGGAAAAGGTGGGTCAGGAATTTTATTTTAAAGGTCAGGAAAAACCTGCAAAAGTCAGGATATTGTTTTCTCAAAATAGTGTAGGAATCCTGTAAAAATATTTACAAAAATGATAAAATATTTCATCACAATATACAGTTTTTTTTTTGATTATCATATCTCAATTTAATAAGTATTGATATCAGAAAACTCATGTAAGAGTACTGTAAAAGCATGAAGTATAAAAAGATACTTTCCTCAAATTTTGAACTAAGCCTTGTATCTCTTCTCAATATATATTAAAACTAAAGTCTGTACTATTGTTTCAAGAATGGGAACACTGATTAAGATTGTGTTTTTTATTGTGGTTTTCTAATTTTCAATGTGGTATGTAAATAATCTCCACTTTTGGGTATCATGTCAGTCAGATGCAATATCAAAAATGCGAAATTTCATTGTTGAAATCCTGTGTTACTGATTAAACTTTCCTTTACATCTTTTGAAAGGCTACATTGATTGCTGTGGCATTTTTGTTTCACATTGCTAATACTGTTTATTTTATTTTATAATTTTGTGATAGCTGATCCCTCTATATTGAGTTGTTCTTATATAATATTTAAAAACAAATTTTTTAAATGTTGCATTGTCATGAAAATAGCATTGTTACAAATTTAAAAAAAAAATAGAAGATGTTGATAGCTTGAAAAAAATTAAATATCTACAGGGGTCTGTTAAGAAGAAATTTGGGTCCGTTAACGGACCCTTCACAAAATATCTTTTCATAAAAACGGACCCTTCACAAAATATTTTAACTTAAAAACGGACCCTTCACAAAAGGATTTTTCTTATAATCGGACCCTTCACAAATTTGTTTATCTTCATTATTATTTTGTTAATCGAATAAACCCTTTCCTGGGCAGAAAACAAGAAAGATGGATGTAAACGAATTAAGTTTTGTCTTCGGCAGATGATTCTTCCATTATTCGTCCGAAATGAATATTCTGCGCTCAGCAGTATAGGCTGAATACCAAATATTTGTATGTTGCATCTTTAATTTAGAAGCAGCAATTGTTGTTCATTTTTTAAAATTTAATTTTTTTAATTATAATTTTACAGTGTCGAGCATAATCTTGTATATCTTTACAATTTAAAAACTCCTCGAAAAAGTTTTTTTTTTGCAATAACGGACCCTATTTGCACAAATTCATAAAAGCGGACCCTGGTTGAAAGAATGTGAGTAATTTTTTCACAATTTCACGAAAAACAGACCTTTCACAAAATGTCTGGACAGACCCCTGATCTAATTTAAGCTTGCTATGCTCATAGTTTAAATGCTGAAGTAAAAATGCAGGCTGGAAACCAATATTTAAGCTAATATATGTTTACAAAAATTAAAGAAATTCTACATATAACAGTCATGTAATTTTAAAAAATGTAAATATAATATTCTTATTCATAAAAATAAATATTTGGTATATTATAGTAAATTTGGTTTCACTGTCTCTATAACCAGCAAGTAAAGATAATTTGCGATTCTATTGCATAATTTTCAAAATTGTTGCGCGTCCTTGTTATTCATGTGGTATAATTTAATATAATAGGTAATTGTTGTTTAAAATAAGATTTATTTTTATTCTAGGACTGATGATGTAACATAATGCTCCTGACTCATTTCAAATTTTTTCTAAAATAACCATTGGAAGGATCCTCGTCTTATCAAAGACTCTTTTTAATGGTAATTTTTCTGTCTTAAATTTCAACTTATATTGTAAATTGTCTGTTTGTTTGAATTGTAAATTGTCTGTTTGTTTGAATTGTAAATTGAAAAATAATGGGAAAAAAAAGATAGAAATGTCAGTGGCATAGTTAGATGGGAGAGCAAGAAGATAATCTGTTCATGGGTGCAGCTTTAGAGATATGCCAAATTCATAAGAAATGATTGAAAATTAATTCCAGAATAAAATGTTTTTCTATTTCAAATATCCTTAGTTTCATTCCCTGCTTATGAGCCCCATAACTCCTTAAATTTTTTAACTAATTTGTTCTGGTTACTATTTTAAAGTTTGCATTGCATTAATTGACAAATTTTTAAAATTAATTTTACCAAATTTGCAGCACGTTTATTGAGAAATGCCTTTAAACTAAACACTTATCATTCAATCAATCAAAAACAATGCACATATTAAAAAAAAAAAAAAAATAGTATAGCATACATTGGTAAATATTAAACCAAGCTGAATGAAAGCTTGTAACATTATCAAGACACATTATTTTTTTTTCTTCCAAAATTTTATTCAATATTAAACTTATCAATGCAATGTCATGTGTGGAAGATTTCAGTTTTCATATCTTTTTTGTTTTTCAACTTTTTTTTATGTAAATATGTACTGCTATTTTTTTTCTCCTTATTGTTTAAACGTTTTACTGTCGAACCTGTTTATCTCGAATCTCACGGGAAAGACAAAAAATTTTAGACAAAGAGGTTTCGAGTTATACAGGTACTTTAAAAAATTAAAATAAATTAAGAAATTCTATTAAAAGTGCTGTACTTGTTTTTAGTAGAAAAATACAGGCATTTCTGTAAATTAATTATACAACACACATCTATTTACATAAAAAAAATGTAACGTACATTTAACGCTTAAAATAATTTTTCAAAGATTTTCGACGTCTAAACTTTTTTGTTTCGATAATTTTTTTACCATTTGGAAGAGCAGCAAATCCCCCATAGCCAATATTTTCTTAGGATTAATAAAAAGTTTGTAAGAATTTTACAGCTTTTTTTGCTCTCACTTTTGGTTCATAAATATGATTTTCAACTTCTTCATCTGATATTCCTTTGACATTATCTATGATTTGTCTTTGACATTATATTTGACACTATCTGTCAATGTTCCGAATGTTGCCAGGTAGTTGTCTACTTCTAAAAATCTTCAAAATTAATTTCAACATTAAATCCCGATTATATTGCATTCCATTCTTGCAAATCCAAAACTGTATTTTCAGCGTCAACAGTTTCTTCTTCTTTATTGTTGCCTTCAACCTCTTGTTCTTCATCTTAACAGCTATTCTTAAAACAAGCCATTTTAAAATCATTTTGGATAACTTTTAGAGACACATTTTTCCAAGCAGAACAGTCATTCTGATAGCATTGAACACATTTACTTTTGGAAGTAAAACTTTTTTCATCGATGATATCTATAAGTTTGAGTGCCAACTGTTTTCTATAGTTCACTTCAAAATTCATAATTTTCCTTCGATTCATTGGTTGTAATTTTGAGCTAAAAATGAATTTTTATTCCTAGCTTTCTTATCTATGTTGAAAAGCTAACCCGTGGTGGTCACTCTGTCCTACTCATCAACCCCTCACTTACTGACAGAATCATTATATTTTTTTCAAGTTAAGGAGGTGCAGGGGACAGTGATCAAAATTTCAAGAAACACCCCCAACCTTTTCATCTCTACTTTCTGTGGGTTCATGAAATTCATCTTCGTCTGAAAGTTCTGCCGATAAAGAGTGTTATGTTGTTTGGACATTTGCGCTCTATTATAAGAAATTCGAGATACGAAGGTTGAGTGGTCGCTCCCCAGGGGTTTCCCTGTATGTACATTTATATGTGTATATATATAAAGAATTTTTAGCTTTAAATTTTTTTAAATTTTTACTATAGCTGTAGAAATATTCAATGAAATTAAAGACAATTTTTGGAGTGATTTTTAATGTCTAACATATCATTTTAAAAGTCTTTTAAAAAAATGTTAAAAACTAAGCTGAATATCAACAATGTAAAGTAATCCTTTCATATTCTGCGTACGGGAAATTCATTTAAAAATATTTTTTCATGATTGGGGGGGGGGGGAGATATTAAAGAATTTTATATGAATCTTATTTGATAACTTATGAAACAAATCTGATTTGAATATCTTTTAAAAGTAAAAAGTTTTTGGCAATTTTCTAAATATAAATATATAAATGATAAGGAGTTTTCTGCATTTTTCATTTTGTATCATAAAACGAAGTTAAATTACGAATGATTTAACCCTATAATGCACAACAAATTGGGATGATATAAAGAAAGAAAACATGTGAAATAAAATATACTTTAATATGGTATGGTCCTCTATAATGCTGGTGTCATTTTTCATAATTCTTATAAAATAGTATGAACTAAAATTCATGGAAAACTCAGAAACGTTTTGATGTTTGTTCTGTCTTTTATAGGGAGATAACAATTGTAGTATTTTGAAGGAATAATTTTGGAGTTTTCATTTTAAAATAATCAAAGTAAAACAAATTTTCAACTTGAAGCTAGAAATGAAGCAAAGTTCTCCAACTCTTGCAATTTTTTTTCTTCGGACTTTACAGCTCTTTCTTTATTTACACTATGAAATGTAAAGCTTGGAGTTTAATTAAAGAGATATTTATTAACCATTTTAAATTACACGGCAACATACTCGACCAGAAGAGAACAAGCACTGAACATGAACTTCGACCTCCTCCAAGCAATCCAAAACATCAATGCATCAATTACCTCACAGTTACAATCACGGTTATTTCTATACAGTTAAAACATATGTTATAGCAGCCTTGATTAAAAATAAAAATTTGTTGTACATAGGGCTGTGAATCCAGAGATGATTTTAAAAGAGTCGGGTAAATTTTCTTTACCCTGATTCCAGTTAAGTTATTAGTTAGGTCCTATTCGCTAAACAAAATAAGTATTATGGAAATTGTTTAGACAAATATTTATAATTATGTTACTGAAATATTATTCAAGTGTATATATATATAACCACAAAAACAGCATATTTCTCTGACCCCAATAATATGCTTATATATTTAGTTATGAAAGTAATTAAATTGTGAATCCTTTATTAATACAGTTGAGAACCAATTATCCGGGATGCTCGGGACCATCGCTGTCCCGGATATCTGAATTTCCCGTTTTTCTGGATCGACCAAAAAGTGTCGTTAATCGATGTTTTATCAAACCCGAAGTACAAGGAAAAAGTGTAATGCATAAAGTAAGAGAAAAAAGAAAGGTACTCCTAACTTTAAAAAGAAAAAAAAAATGGTAGAAATATAACATTTAAAAGAATAAAAAAATTTGCAAGTTTAGACAAGAAAATCAAGTTTAAAAAATACAAAATTCTCATATTTATTTTTTAAAAATAATTACAATTCCTAAATTAAATAATATAAACAAAACCAATGATTAAATAACGCAATATATTTCATACCTAATTATACGGGGGGAAACGATAAAATAAAAGGAAAACTTATTAATCTAAATAAAAACACTTGAAAATTATCGAACCGAAACGATAGTTAAAAAAGGCACTAGCATAAATATTAAAACCCGGAACAAGGCAAGATCAACGGAATTAAAAAAAAAAAAACCTAATGATAAAATTTATGAATAAAAAGAATTAATTTATTGAGTGCGAAATTTATCGCGAAAAGAAAAAAAATCAAACGTAGTGGAATCAGAAAAACAAAACTGCAATCTGCTTCATAAAATAATCCTATGTTTAAATTAATAAACAATTCTCCTTTTATTTTATTTTTTTTGTTGATAAAAACAAGATTTTTAATTACAGCAGATGTGATTCCACACCAAGAAAAACTTGCAATTGATACCGCACTTCCAAAGAATGAGAATTTATTCAAAAGAAAAAGATTTTATTTTTATTAGTCGATGTCAAATAAATATATTTTTCTCTTTTCTTTTTCTGTTCACTGATATGCTTGCAATGCATTTTCCCCACCCCCCTCGTAAATCAGGCAGAAAACGAAATCAGCATGCCACACCCTAGAGTTTGATTGACGGCCTAAAGAAAAAAATAAAGCATTTCTCCCTTCCCTGCCTTCAAGGTCACGGAGGAAATGACGTTTCTCTGGGAAAACGGGGAAAAATTTTTTCCCCTTCCTTACATTTTTCCTCTACTCAACTTCAAGGATGAGTCCAATTTCCGCTTTTTTCGTTCTAGATTAAAATGGCGGGAAAATCGAGCAAAATTTTTCCCGGTTATCTGGATACCGGATAAATGGTTTTCTACTGTATTCAGATGAAAAGACGGTACTATATTATTTTTTTATTCTAATTAGTTTGTAAATTATTATTTTGTAATGAAAGTTTTCTATAAAATTAAAATTTTTCTCTTGTGAAATAAAATTTAAGAATTTAAGCCTAAAAAGTGGTTTAGGTAAAATCTTAAAGTCCCTCCCACAAAAATAAAAATTCCTACCGAGTTAGTAGATTTTTTAAAAAAGGCTTGGGGCTTTTTAGACCCTATTAGTCAGAGTTGAACATTTCAATTGTTAACATCACACTGGTTTTAAATGTTTATATTTGTTTTTCTTGTTACCACAGGCGATAACCGACTGCCATGGAATACACTCTAGAACAAATTGATCCGGACAATCCACATCCCATCATCATTCGCTTAGATGGAAATGAAGTGATTGTTGGAAGAAAGACTGTGGTATCACTCTCTTCTCATAGCTTAGTGTCACGGAGACATGCCTCCTTTCACAACATCAACGGAGAATGGCACATTAAAGATTTGGGAAGTCTTAATTGCCTTTATGTAAATGCTCAGAGAGTTGAGAACAAGAACGGTTTGCGAAAATTGAGAGTTGGAGACACCATTGGTTTTGGAATTCCTGTCTATTTATCTTCCATTAAAGATGGATTCATTTGTGTTTTGAAATCGAAGCTGTCTATAAAGAAAGAAGATTTAAATGAAAGTGATGTTTTGGTGGTGGAAAAAAACAAAACAGTGTCAGACATATGTGAGAATGGAAAGGAATCCAAAAAGTGTCTCTCACCAAAATTTTTTTCTTCGAATCGAAATGAGAATATAAATTTATCTTCTACGTTGCCAGAAATATCTTTGAATCACTTGGATTCCAAAACAGGTCTGCCAAAAAATTGCATTTTCAATGATAATACTAATAGAAGTGTTTTACCTAAATCTTTGTCTCTTTCAAGCATTGGCTTTAATATACGAAAAGACAACTGTAATGATACCACAGAAGTTTCTGAGCCTACAGTAGCATTACCAAAAATTTATAATTCATTACTTCAGTTTGAAGAAACTGTACATAATTTTGTTGCCCATAATACAAAACATCTTGATACAAAAATTAATCTTAACTTATTAGAGAATAAAGAGATTAAATGTGAGTCGGATGAAGAACGCATATTTGTTCAACCGAATTCTGTGGGAAAGAAACTAAACAAAGTCAACATAAAAGATTTATCTGAAACATGCGGAAATCCCTATTTAAATTCTTTGAGCTTCAACACATCTGAGAAACAAAAATCTGAAACCAGCTTTGATTCTGTAATACAAAAGAAAGTAATTAAATGTCACTCTGATGTAAAATCTGTTCATTTTCTACCCATTTCAGGGGAGAAAAGAACCGAAATTCAAAATGATGTTTCATCCGATGTATGCTTAAATTCCCATTCAAATGATGATATTTTATCTAACACTTACAAAAAATTGCCCTTTAATTTTGCTCGAGGGGAGATTCCAGTAATTCAAGATGAAGTTTCCTGCAATGCATGTTTTATTTCTATTCCAAACAATGATCTTCAGCTTCCTGAAATCCCTAAGGTTAATAGAGGGCTATCTAATTCAATTGAAAAAGAAAATGATATAACTGTAATTCAAGATACAATATCTTCTAATGCATGTTCTACTTCTATTACAAACAGTGATGTTTTCATTGCTGAAAGTCCTAAGGTCAATGAAGAACTGTTCAGTTCATCTGAAAAAGAAATCGCATTAGTTCAAGATGAATTTTCCTCTAATGCATGTTTTATATCTATTTCAAGCAATGATCTGCTTCCTGAAAGCCCTAAGGTTAGTAGAGATCTGTCCAATTCAATTGAAAATGGTATTGCTGTAATTCAAGATGAAATATCCTCTAATGCATGTTTTACTTATATTTCAAACAATGATGTTTTTATTGCTGAAAGCCACAAGATTAATGAAAAACGATCCAATTCGACTGAAAAAGATATTGCATTAGTTCAAGATGAAGTTTCCTCTAATGCATGTTTTATATCTATTTCAAGCAATGATCTGCTTCCTGAAAACCCTAAGGTTAATAGAGGGCTGTCCAATTCAGTAGAAAATGGTATTGCTGTAATTCAAGATGAAATATCTTCTAAGGCATGTTTTACTTCTATTTCAAACAATGTTTTATTTACTGAAAGCCCTAAGGTCAATGAAGAACTGTCCAGTTCAGCTGAAAAAGATATTGCATTAGTTCAAGATGAAGTTTCCTCTAGTGCCTGTTTTATTTCTATTTCAAGCAATGATATTCTGCTTCCTAGAAGTCCTAAGATTAACAAAGGGCTGTCCAATTTAGCTGAAGATGATATTGCAATAATACACGACGAAGTTTCCTCTAATGCATGTTTTACTCCTATTTCAAATACTGAAGTTCAAATTTCGAACTGCTCTAATTTCAAGAAAGAATCCGCTCTAAGTTTTACTGGAGGAAAGACCTCTGTAATCCACGATGAAGTTTCATTTAATACATGCTGCACTTCAAGTGATGTTTTAATTGTTAAAAGTTCTGAAAATATTGAAAAATTGCAACCCATTTTGGCTGAAGAAAAGAATGCAAAACTTCAAATTGGGTTTTCACCTGTCCTATGCTTTAATTCTATTTCAGACACTGTTTTGGCTGTTAACAATGATAAGGGTAATGAAAAATTATCAAGCTTTTCCAATGTAAAGATTACAGCACTTCAAAATAAATTTTCTTCTGATACATCAATTGATTTTATTTCAAACACTAATAGGTTGAATGTTAATAAAGAGTTGTATCCCACTTTTACTCCAGAAAAGATTAAAGTAATCCTAAATGAAGTTTCATCAGATACTGGCTTTAGTTCTTTTTCAAACATAGATGCTTCAATCAGCAACAGTTCAAAGATTAATAAGGACCTATCGCTGAATGTTTCTGAGGATAACGTCCAGAGAATTCAATGTGAAGTGTCATCAGATACTGGCTTTAGTTCTGTTTCAAACACAGATGCTTCAGTCAGCAACAGTTCAAAGATTAATGAGGATCTACCCCTGACTGTTTCTGGGGATAACATCCAGAGAATTCAATGTGAAGTTTCATCAGATGCTGCCTTTAGTTCTGTTTCAAACATAGATACTTTGATCACCAACAGTCCAAAGATTAACGAGGACCTACCACTGAATGTTTTTGGGGATAACATCCAGAGAATTCAATGTGAAGTTTCATCAGATACTGGCTTTAGTTCTGTTTCAAACATAGATACTTTGATCACCAACATTTCAAAGATTAATAAGGACCTACCACTGAATGTTTCTGGGGATAACATCCAGAGAATTCAATGTGAAGTTTCATCAGATACTGGCTTTAGTTCTGTTTCAAACACAGATGCTTCAGTCAGCAACAGTCCAAGGATTAACGAGGACCTACCACTGAATGTTTCTGGGGATAATATCAAGAGAGCTCAATGTGAAGCTTCATCAGATACTGGCTTTAGTTCTGTTTCAAACACGAATCTTTTGCTTTCTGACAGTCTTGTGGTTAATAAAGATCTACCACTGAGTGTTTCCAAAGATAAGATTGAAGGAATCCAAAATCACCTTTCATTAAATGCAGGCTTCAGTTCTGTATCAATCATGGATGCTAATGTTAATGAAGGTTTCCCCCTGAGTGATTCTATCAATAATATTAGTAAAAATCAAAGTTCTTCATGTGTTGAAAGATTTAATACAATTCCAAATACTAATTTTTTAAATTTACACTCAGATGGCACTGGATTTAATAGCAATGAAAAAGTTCCCTCAGTTTCTGTGTGGCTTGAAAGAAACTGTAATAAAAATTTTAACGCTACTAATGTAGCTGAGTGTTCATGTTTAGAAACTAATTCTTTAAAATGTTGTAGTGCACCTCTTAAGAATGTCATCGATTTTGTTATTGATTTTTCTTATGATTCTACATGTAATAATTTTTTTAATGATAGGGTTTTAACTGAATTAATTTCTGACCAGTCAAAATCCTCCGAAGCATCTGCCACGATATCTGATACTAAATGCAAGAAAAAATGCAAAAATTTTAGATCAATTGAAACAAAAACTGAAATTGCAGAGATTACTGTTATTCCTTGTAATCAGGACACCATTAATAAATCAATTTCTGATCAATCGAAGCTATCAGAAAAATCTGCTAAGAAAGCTAATGCTAGTTGTAAGAAAAAATGTGAAGGCTTGAAATCAGTAGAAGTTAACAAAGTTGCAGAAAAGAATAAAAATGATATTTCTTGCAATGAAACAATTGTTAATATATATTCTGATCAATCAAAGATGACTAAAACATCTGTTAAGAAACATAAAAGAAGTGATAGAAAAAAAATTAACATTTCTAAGTTAAGTGGAACAAAAAATAAGAATCTAAAAATTAATCAAAGTTCTAAAGAAAATGAGAAATGTGAGAATCCTCCTTCACTGAATATGCTTGAAGCCTCTGAGTTGCAAAAAGATATCAATGCTTATGATTCTTGCACCAAAGGTATCAATGCTTATGATTCTGCAATCAAAGGTATAGATGCTTATGATTCTTCAATCAAAGGTATCAATGTTGATGATTCTTCAATGAAAGATTTCAATGCTTATGATGATTCTGTTTCTGATCTTCCTAATGAATTTATTGATACTGCCAAACTGCAAACAGTTATCAAAACTGAGGTTTCTTATATTTCTAATGAATTAATTGGATCTCCCGGGCAGCAAACATGTGTTATTTCTGAAGTTTTTTCTATTACTGAGCCTCCTAGTGAAATAACCGAAATACCTTTATTGCAATCTGCCATCAAATCTGAAATTGCTTCGATTGATTTTCCTAATGATATTAGTACCAATAACCCTTTTTTTGATTCAACAAAATGTGACTTGGCATTAAGTTCGTACAAAAATCAGCTATATCCTCCTAATTCACTTGAAATTAAATGTAAAAACAAAAATCCAGAAAGTAGTGAGGGTTGTGCATTAGTTGTGCGAGACTTAGTACAGCATAAACTCTATGATAGTGACACTGAGTCTTTATCAGAAACATGTTTATCTTCAATAAAAGATAAAAGTTGTTATGAAGCCCACAACTTAAAAAATTGTTCAGTCTTATTAGAGAGATTAGACTTGAAACAGAAGTGCCATAATGAGGAAAGTTATGTTAAAAATATTCACGATCCTAGTTATTTGATAAAAAAATGTACTGTTTTACTGACACGTTGTGATTCAAAGGAGTTTAAGCTACCATCAGATGTCAAAGCTACTTTTCAAAATGATTCTAAGTTACTGAGTTGTGTTTCTGGCAATGGTCCCTTGAACTCAATTGTTTCAGGAAAATGCAAAAACTTTAGAAAAGAAAGAAGAAAGAAAGCTTCATCTGTTAGCTTGGAAAAGAGACTTGATGAAAGTGGGCAAAATAAATGCTCAACACATTTTTCTTCGCTAAAAGCCAATAACAGTGTACGGGTTAAAGGTCTTACTTTATCGAGAGATGGTTCTGCTTCTAAACGAAAACTTGGTAAAACAGTTCAGAAAGAAAGTCCCATTTTGTTGACAGATGGGGCTGCAATTGAAAAGAGGCTCAAGAAAACAGTTCAGAGAGAAAATTTCAGTTTAGTGGCCAAAGCCGTTGAAAAGATTTCCCCATCGAGTAAACGCAACTCAAATAAATCTTATAAGAGGAATGATATTTATAAACCTATTCGAAAGGGTAACGCAGAAATGCAACAAATGGGAATTACTGATACGCATACCTCTGATGGTTTAAATTCATCTACTCTAGTTTTGAGTAACAAAAGTGTCGGACAACCGTCGGCTTATGTTGAAAATAACAGTTACTTTGCAAAAATACCTTTATCAAAGCAGAAGAAAAATTCTGCTTTGTCTAAGCTAAAAAAACAAGCTCATACTGCTTCTCAATATCATAATTCATATACTTTCAAGAGAAAATGCCTTAATGGAAAACCATCTTTTTCCAACTACATCTTTAAGAAGAGAAAGAAAGCATCTAAAGTTAGACTAAATTTTGCTGAAAATCTTTTTTCACCAGTTTATAGCTTTCAAAGACAGAGAGATCAATTTTCCTCTGAAGATGGTGCTTCAAGAGAAACTGAGGTTTATAACAATGGTTCCACACAAAAAACAACTTTAAAAAGTAAGAGGAAAAACTCTTATCCAAAAAGAGCTAACCGTTTTTCAAGTCGAATGAACTTCTTACTTGATTTACCTACTGTACAAAATCCGAACTCCACTTGCCAAAAAGATATTGTAAATAAAGGATCTAATTTTTATAAAAGTTATACAAATTTACTAAGTGATAATAGTTCCACACGTTTGCCAACATCTTGTACAGTTTCTAAGTCACCAATTGTTGAATATAAAAAGACGGTTCCTAATAAGTCCTGTTTCCCTATTTATCAACAATATAATTCCACAAAACTGAATAACTCGTTTATGAATTTTCAAAACAATGTTACAAAGTATCCATCACAATCTACTCAGGATTGGTTAGAGCAAGAGTTTTCAAATGACTCGTACTCTAGTGCTGGTCAAAGTTCATCTTCTGAAGTTTTAATCATGGATAATTTCGATATGGATAATGATTGCATGTACGGTTTTGACATAGGGCCTATCGGAAAAAACACCGACATCATCATTCCATGCAACTCAGAAGCCAATAATGCTCCTGCCAAAAAACCTTATGAATTTTCACACAAGTACAACTCCTTGACTTGCATTCAAAAAATCATGGAATGGAATCCCAGGTGGTTAAATGAGGTACAGGATTTTTTTCCTATTGTGGCAAACCGCTCAGGACACCTAGACCTTACATTCGATCATTTTGACACATACTTTGCTGCATTTTCTTCCGCCATAGTCTTGGATATATGGCAATATATGTTGCTCAAATGCTCAGAACATAAATCAACTAACAAAATTTCTCATGATTTTTATTGTGTGACTACTTTTTGTATTGATAAACATGACATGGTTGAGCTGCAGTGCTGTTCGTATGTTACTGACAGTCAGTCCTACACTCCATCGGAAGGTACGGTAGTTTTTCTAGATATCTTTGACAAAGAACGTGAGATTAATACTCAGATGTTCGGGTATATAAATAGGTTCAAAGCTCTTGAACTCAAGGACAAAACCAAAACATTGTCCATTGTGCCAAAAGCTAAAAAATGGGATTTTAGTATTTATGTAAAGAAAGAGATTTGTTTGGGAAACCAAATATTATTGGCTCGTGGGATTTGTAACATTAAGGATCATCTGCAATTGGCTGATGCATTGTGTACTTTTCAATTTTCTCCATTTAAGAATATTGTCTTGCAACTTAAGGAGGAGAATTTTCTCTTGTGTCAACATTCACCAGATATAACTTCAGCTGAATATATAAACAGAATGAAGGAGGAAATAATGAATTTCTATTCACCATTGAAGGTGCTCTTGTGTCATGGTGCACCTGGCACAGGTAAAACTCACTCGGTACTGCAGCTGTTGGAAAAATTGCTTTTTTTTAATACTTTTAAATTAAAAATTTTAGTGACTGCTCCATCTGATTCTGCTTTAGATGAAATTGGCTTAAGGATTATTGAACTAAATGAACGCCACACTTGGAAATGTAAATCTTTAAATGTTATTAGAATAGGAACCACTAAAACAGTTCACCAAAAATTGCAGGCATATGTGCTAGAAGAAATGGTTGCAAGGATGTGTAAAAATCATTGCCGAAAAGATTTACCTTCAGAAGAGAAGCTGAACTGCTTGGAAGTTGAAATTAATGCCTTGTACCAAAACTTAGGCAATGCTGCCAGTTTTAAAAAAGTTAATAGATTTCTGGCACTGACCCATCAAATCAAATCAATGGCTGACCACAAATTGAAATCGCACAAACCTTTTGTGCATTTGAATCAAAAAAGGCTGTCCTCGGAGAAAGAACTGGATTGCTTGGCTTCTGAAATTAATGTTCTGAGACAGGAATTGGGTACAGCTTCGAGTTTTGAGAAAGTTGATAGAATTTTGTCCCTAACCGAAGAACACAAGTTGATGAGAGATCAGTATGAGAAGAAATTGCGAGAGGCATCCAAGGCAGCCTGCTTGTCTGCATGTTCTGGAAGTGTATGCTCTCACCTCTACTGCAGCATGCACAGAGCGTGTAAGCAGTACAGGGTCAACTTATTGGAAGAGTGTGACATTGTGCTAACAACTTTGGGCAACAGCATTAAAAGTGTTGTGAATTTGATGTCTACTCAAAATGTTGCCGTGCCTTTTACGTGCTGTATAGTGGATAATGCATCAGATTGTACTGAGTTGGAACTGCTGCAGTGTTTGACTATCGGTATCAACAAACTAATACTATTTGGGGATGTCCTACCAAACACTCCAAAAATAGCTCAGAAATCAAAATGTGATCTGAAGCGATCTATGTTTGAAAGATTTTACTCTTTTTTTAATAAATTTAATCTTGAAAGTCCCATTTTTTCATTGAAAAAACAGTTTCGTATGCATTCTGAAATTTGCCGTTTTCCTTCTGTGTATTTCTACAACAACACACTGGAGACTTCACCAGAGGTAGATGATCGCTACAGGCTATCTCCCTTGAAGCCATATTTTGTTTTAGACGTTATAAGTGATCAGTATATCGGGTCCTCGGACGAGAGTGAAGCTGATCAGTTGGCACTCGCGTATCTGTGTTCCATCATCAAGCAAGCAATTTCTTCAGCGAACATTGGTGTGATATCCACTAAAAACAGAGTTCCTATTTACAATGCTTGTTTGTTTCAAAACGATTTTTGTAGAGAAGTTGAGGTTAATACTGTGGACCATTTCCTTTCCAAAGAAAAAGATATTGTAATCATCCCATGTGTCAAATCTAATGATTCAAATGAGCTTGAAGATTTTGCATCAGATTGTTCTAAGACAAAACTGGCTCTAACGAGAGCTCGCCAAAGTCTAATAATCTATGGAAATATATCCAGCTTAGATCATCACAAACATTGGAAAGCTCTGAGAGATGATGCAATAAGTCGAAATCTCTATGCATCCATATCGTCTTTATTCCATATGCCGCTCATGTTAAATGAGATAATTTTTGAACCAGATGTATAGACAAAATTTTTTAATTGCAAGCTTTTACAATTAATCATTTTTATGCCATTAATATTAATCAATGTCAGCTCGGTAGCAGAAACCCTCTAGTCTGGCAGAAGGCAAATAAGATTATCACAGCATCTGTAGATAATTTTCAACCTCACATTTTTATTAAAACAAGAACGAATGGGGGGAAAAAATTGACAACAAATAAAAATCAAAAATAGAGCGAAAAAGAAAATATTTTTCTATATTTATGAACAAAAATAAGGAATAGTTGTTTTTTACTTTCCTTTTTTAATTTGATACCAAAAAAAAGATGCTTACTTCATGTTAATTTTTCTAGTCATTATTTTATTTGTCTTTCTTTCAATTAAAGGAACCTTAAATGAGCACAAATAAGAATATCATAAATTACATTTATGTTAATTTTTCCCTTTAAAATGAAAAAAAAAAAAGTTACCATCTGCAAGTTTATTCTTTCTTTTTGATTTCTTTATTGGATTTAGTATAAGCATAAATTTTTCTCCTTTTGGGCAAAACTAAAGTATAAGTATATAAAATTCAAATTAAATTTAAACATAAAGTTTCTATATAAAACTTAATTGTACAGTATACTTTTGATATCCCAAAAACCTTGCTATGTCAAGAAAAATTTCTCATTAGCATTACATATCCACCTACTGTTATTTTGAATTCCTATGTCGAAGGATTTTTTCTCAAAACCTTGCTATGTCAGAATTTTTTTTCGAAATAAAAAATAATTTTTTTTTTTGAGAAGTCACAATTTAAGTTAATTGTAAGCCCATTTTTTACCTTTTAATGCATAATTGTTTTTGTCTTACTTTTGAAAATAAAATTATCATTGTTGCATTTAGACTTACAATCAACTATCATTACATACATATTTAATACTAGTTATTCGTATGTTTCACCACTTTTTACAGTAATATTTTAAAATGTTTTTTTTTTTTACTTTTTAGAACACATTTAGTTCTGAACTTGTTATCTCGAAATCTTGAAATAATTTTAGTATCCCTTGAACTTTGAGATATCGAGAGTGTACTGCATTTTTTATTTGCAAATTATGCTTTATACTTAAGTGTCATTTTTAAAATAATAATCTCTACCTAAATCGCAGAAAATTTTTAATTTTTGGGGTTTGTGCTACAAATGACTCTGTAAGTTCTGCTACCAGCAATGTCAGTAATAGGAAGTTTAAATGAAACCCTTAATGTGTGAGTGAATAATATTGCTAAATGTCTATAGCAGATTTTTTTTTAGCTTATTGAAATGTTTAAGTGAAATCCTAGTGAATAAATTAAATCTAATGAACAGTATTGATCAATATGAATAACAGATTTTATTTTAAGTTTATTGTTAAGGAAACCTTTAGTGAGTGAATGCATTTATCAATTCATAATTAAGTTTGTTTTCATAGCACAATATGGTACTTAGGCATTATCCCTGTCAATTCTTGTGAAAATGCGCAAATCCTATGGCGTCATCATAAAGAAAAGCGATTTCCAAAATAAACATTCTAAACACATTAAGTTTATCATATAAAAAACAAAGTTTAAAAAAAAATGATAAAATTGGATAAAACAAAATAAGAAATGCTGAAACAAAGTGATAAAATTTGCGGTTATTGGCACAGAAGTTACCTTTTAGCGATAATATAGTTTTTGGCTAAAGTATTCGACGTGGATAATTCCAAAGTGCCAAAATATAGTTTATATATATATATATTTTTTTTTGCTTTCTGACAATCTCTAATTGAAAAAAATAAGTAAAAAATTTTATTTAAAAAAATGGAACAAAGTAAAATAAAAATTTATTTAGGAAATCTTTTAATTGAATTTAAAATTGTTCAGCAATTTTACATGATTTTGCTTATTTTTTAAATTTCAAAATGTGTAATAAGCAAATATGTATTCATGAATTGGAATTCTTTTATTGAATTCGAAAGCAATCAGTGTTATACTCTAATCAGTGCCTGTTATTTTCTTCATGCACATTTTGTTGTCATGCGCATTCTTTTTTTTTTTTTGCGAAAGGTTTCGTTGAGTGTCAGTTGTGTTTTTTTCTTCTTTTTATCGAAACTTTGTTTTTTCTTCAAAGAAACAAGTATTTTTTTTAAAGGTTATTTTAATAACAAGCTGTAAGTTGCGTATGGTTGTTTTGTTAAATTTACCTAAGAAGCTATTTTCTAAATATTTGAAATAATAATATATACCGTACAGTATTTTTCTTTTATTCAGTTTCATTCTAGACGATAAATGATACTGGGTGATAAATATTTGCCAAGTCATGGTCTGTGTCAATTTATGATATTTACTATTGAAAGTTTATAAATAATTATATTGTCCGCATTTTGATAATCTATTACCTGTTATCTTTTTTTTAAAAATATAAAAAAAAAGTGTTTAAAAAATATTTAAAATTATGCAACAACTGCATGATATGTTTTTGATGATCATATCACATTTGTTAACGCTTTTAATAGTTTTGGAATTTTATAAAAAATTCTCTCAAACACGTAAAAACTGTTTAGTAATATGTACATGTCTCACAAACATGAACTTGTTTGAGAATTTTATTGTTTATGAAAGTAGAAAAGCAAATATATATATATATATATATATATATATATAAATATTTGAATGTTATAAACACAAAGTAAACATTGAATTTTGTACTATTTATCAGAGCTCTAACATTTTTACATGTTTGAACATCTAATTTTATTACATAGTGATCAAAACATGAATATGTGTGCCTATTATGAAACTGTGGAATTACAATGACATTAAATAACATATCTACTTCAACCCTTCTGATTACAGTATGAATTTGAAGTATTAAGTATTATTAACAAATAGTTATATATGAAGTGTATTTTATGAAGTGAAAGCAGAGCTGCATTAAAATTATCAAATAAGTAACATTATCAAAATTAGGGAGAACTATTGGCAAGTGTATGCCCTTCAACATGTTTACTTGAAAATGAAAATATATTTATAATAAGTTTTTTTATTAATTGCTTTCTTATGCACAGTGTTTAAACCTTTTTTCTTTTCTTCCTCTCCTCGGTACCGTTTTTTCCCTCGCCCTATCTTGCAATTTTTGTCGAAGTTTTAGTTGGTACTTTTTTTTATATTTGATTAAAAATGCATGGTCAGACATCATGTAAATACATCAAAACCTTTTGGGAGCGACCACTCCACAATAAAATGACCGTTGATAGCGGTTGGACGCTTTAAGAGGTTGCCTCCATTATCGAAGGTACATGATTTTTGGCGAGTGATTTTAATTGTAGTATCATTTTTTTGGTGCGGTAATGCCACTTATGTTGGCGTCATGAAGAATGGATCTATGAATAAAATTTAATGTCTATAAAAATGATCCCAACTGATATAATTATGTGTAAAAACAATTTTACCAATTATGAATAATAGAACTATTTTATATAAATAAACAATTATGTCTTTTGTTTAAGTTTGCATTTAATTTTATAGAATGAAAATTAATTAGCTTTAAAAGGTAAGAAGATTAGTAAGATATTTGAGATGCTTTTTTTTTCTAAAATAACTGTTTTTTTTTCTAATTTAACTTTCAACTCTAAAACAATGATAGCATTGTGCGCTCTGACTACAACTGGAGGTTGTATCATCAAAAAGAGCTCTGAGGGTAGATTAGAAAAAACATCAGTATTCAGAGTACCGGTTAGATGTATACCAGACAGTGGCACTTAACTAGACCTAGTATAACAAAGCTACTATTGTCAACATTCACCTGTGGAGGTCTACAAACACCCATTTCGTTCATTCACAGTTACAGATATACTGATTTTTTTATGAAATATTTTATGTGCAATGTTTCTAAAATATATATTTTTTACACAATAATGACCCCAATACCTGCTGCTCTCTTATGGACACTATATATATTGCATTTAATTTTAGATTTAAAAATAAGGAATTTTGTTTGAAGGTTGATTTTTGATTTGAAAATCTCTTTACAAATTTTATAATTATATTTAAGGAAAGATTTTTTTTAAATGAAAAAAAAAATGAATTTATTTTTTAAATACACTGAAACATTCTTTTTGGGTTTTGATCAAATTTCGACTGTGATAATCACATCGCATTTATTTTTTGAATTTATGTGAAATTTACTTTGTTGATTGTTGCTGAAATGCAAAAGTGCCAAAACTGTTTGTAAAATATTTTTTGTATAAAATAAAACATTTTTAAGTTACCAGTCGTTCCTATCCAATTCAACAAAAAAATTGAGGGAAAAAAATTTTGATGCATATTTATTTCATTAAATAATTGAGTGGGAAAAGTCGTTAAGTGACATTTTGAAAAAGTCTAAATCCACTAAATTTAAGAAAATGTGTTTTCTAAACAGTTACTTAATTTTTGTCAAATGGATTTTGCAAATTCTTTTTTTAAAATGTCACTTGAATGTGTTTTCTAAACAGAGTCCTGGTTTTTCTAATTCATTAAAATGTCATTTGTTTCTCTTAGCTGAAGAGCTTTGATAGTGAAAAGTCTCATCTTACCTAAAGGTGACCTTTTTACTTAAGCTGTTCCTTAGCATTATCTCCAAATAAATATTTTACACAAGTGTCTGTAATTTCCATTTGACTTCACCTGAATACATCTTTATGAAATCGTGGTTTTAACAAAAACGCTCTACTGAACATTTTGAAACGTGGCTTATCATTGTATTTCCTTTGATTTATTTAATATTGTTATTTTTCACTCTGTCAGAAACATATAAAAACTTACAAATTGACCTAAAATTTTTTTAAATGCTACTGAGAGTTGGACTTTTTTTTCAAACCAAGTAAATAATAGGCACTCAGCACTATATTTTTTGTAAAGAATTTTGGTCGGACCCTAAGCAGTCCCAAGTTCCGAGACAATTGTCCTTTCCATTCCTCTAGTGTAGGACAACATATGTAAATTACATACATAATTTTTTGAAATTGTCATGCTTCCCCTTTTTTATTGACATTCTAGTTTTTTCTAAATTTTCTATACAGTTAACATGTGTACCCAGTTTTACCGAACAAGTGGTGAGTGGGGTAAGACCAGATGATTTGACTTTTTCTAGTAAAAAAAGAAAAATCATTTATATAACGTCTATGACTTTTCAAGGATGATATATATTGAACACAACAATGAATATCTTTATTAAATTTGACATTCAAGCAATTTAGCCGCTCGTCCTCGGTGATAGCGGATTGCTCTAATGCAGGGTTTCTTAACCTGTGGTTCATGAACCCCTAAGGGGTCCATGAGTTATATTTTGGGGGTCCGCTGACTGCTCCTAATTTTTATAACATTTGGAAGCCTACCCATTGCATTGCTTGTAAAGCGAGCTATGGCAGCTATAATTCCGTTTCCTACTGTGTATCTTTGCGTAGCGGGATTTTCCACACTTGTGACAATAAAAACATAACATCGAAATCGATTGAATATTGAACATGATATGCACGTTGCTTTGTCGAAAACCATCCCCCAATTCAATTTATTAATTAAGGAAAATCAGCAGCAACCTTCACATTAAAAATTTTATATACTATTAAAATAATATAATTAAATGTTTTCTAATAATTGATGTTTTTTGCAATTATTTTTTTCACAGGGGGGTGGTTCGTGACTTCTTAAAAAATTTTAAAAGGGGTCCATTATATCAAAGAGGTTAAGAAACACTGCTCTAATGGTTTTCTATAGCATGGTGGACTGCTCTGCTAACATCCCTTTGAGAAAGGTTGGTTTACTGCTCCCAAGGGAACCCTTATGACCATCCCTCCTACTTCAATTATGCAGTAAAATTATTTCTGATGGAAACATCCAATATTTTTCGGCTGAAGGTAGTGTGCTGTGGGGGGGATTTGTCAATAAGTGTTCCTCCTTGTGGTAATTTTCAATTAAAAGGAGTTTTTTATATGTTGTAAATTTTGACATTTTCTGTAATTTTAAAATATTAACTATGAAAAAAAATTTTTGTTGTTCATTTTAAGGTGACAAGGAGCTTTTAAAGTTCTGAAACTCGGTCTAAATTTTAATTAGACCGATGCAATTCTTCACAAGAATATTGGTAAAAAAGTTTTGCCAACTTATCGTCTTAAATTAGTTAAAAGGTAAAAGTTCTGGGTGCAGCACCAAATTTTAATTAAATTGTAAAAACCTTACATTAATATTTAAAACTTTGATTTTAATGAATTTTAAACCAGTCTATGTTAACCAAACTTCTGCATATTATTTTTTAAAAAAAATAGTAATTTCCACTTAAAATGTTCGAATTTTTACCGTTAACACACTAAAAAGTTAATGACTACAACTCTGACCAGACGCCATGGTTAGCAAACTTTTTTTTGTTCTATTCCAAAATCGTATATATTTGATTTGAATCAAATATTTATTTTTAAAATAAAATTTATTGGATTTTTTTTAAATTTACCATTTAAAGCATCTGATTTTAATCATACTATTGTCTAAAAGAAATAGAACTAAAATAGTTAATATTTCTTACGAAAATGGATAAAATAATTATATTATTACAAACTAATCACTGAGTTTAAAAAAAATCAAAATTATATTTTTCAGGCTCAACTTGATAATGATTGTTAAAAATCGGGAGACAGTTTTTTAACTAGATACCTAATGAAGATTTATTAGTTAAGATAAAACATAACTAAAAAAAAACGTCTTTCTGGTTTGAGGAAGTCTTGATACGCTCTAACTACATATTCATTAAGATATAAAAGCTCTGCATTTTAATTAGCAAAAAAGTAAATGGGTGTAATTGAAATATGTTTTTAGCCAGAATTTTTTTAAAAAATATATTGAATGAAAAACTATATTTGAAAGTTTCGTATCAAACTTATTCACGTATAGTCTATTTTGAAACATAATAATTTACATGTATATCACTTTCAATATTTCTTAGTAACGAAATCCTCGTTATCAATAAAATCGGACTTCAAGAAATAGCTCTCAAAAGAATGTATTTATTTATTTTATTGTATAGAAATACTTTTAATTATATTTTTTTCAATTAATATTTTTTCATCAATCTGTTGAAATTATTCTTTTTTTTTAAAAAAAAAATCACTTTTGATTTGTATTAATGCATTTTTTAATGAGAGGGATAATATAGTAATTTCAATGCATATTCCTTTTATTATTTCATAGTAAGAAAAATCACTTCCTTAATAAACATACATCTTCAATTAAATTAGACTTTTAAAAATTCCTACCTTAAGGAATGTATTTTTTATTTACACTGCATGAAAAAATTAAAAACTTATATTAATAATTTTTTTCTAAATAAATTCATAATTAATGTTTTTAAAACTATGTTCGTTTAAGTTATACAAATTACAGCTGATTTAAATTGGTGATTTCTTTAAAAAAATTCAAATATTTCAAATTACGATTTTAATCATGACTAAAATCAAGTGATTTAAAGTATGCCAACAGTAACAGAAGCGATCAGAAACTTAGAAATTCAGTATACTTTTTCTATTTAATTTATGATGTTTTTAAAGAAAAACATAAAAGTTGAATTATTTCGTCCATTTCCCCCCCCCCATTTGGAATGATTTTTAACTAATTCTTTGTTTTACTTTCTGTAACTTAGTAGTAAAAATTTGATTTTCAATATATATAGAAAACTAATTTTAAGATGCTTAGAATCAAATATTTACTACTAAGTTGCAATGAACAAAGAAGAAAGAATTAAAAATTATTTCAAACGAGAAAAAAAAAAAAAAATAGACGAAATAATTCGACTTTATATTAATGTTTTTCTTAAAAACATCATAAATTGAATGAAAGGTTTACATTTAAAGTAAAAAAATTATACATATAATAATATTTATTTAGAAAAAATATTTAAGCATCAATTTTCTTAGGCATAGCTATACATCCCAAGATAAGTTAACAAAATTAAAAAAAAATCTTTCTTAAGGCTGTTAAATCTAACCGACTTCTATAAATTAGACAAAAATTTATGCAAACACTCATATTTATATAAAAATATTTAAGCTAATGATTTTACTCTCATAAAATCTATGCATTTTGCCCTAAAATTATCATTCGATGAAAATGTTGAAAAGATTTTTAGAATTATAAGTAAGTTACCGTATGAGAAAACCTTTTCTTATTTGAAAAAAAAAAAAAAAAATGAAATTCAGAAGGTAAGTATCTATTAATTAATGGCATAAATTATGTCTTATGTTAAATTAGAGAGAAAAATAGTGAAATAAAAATATCTATAAATATATGTGGGAAAAAAATAAGAGAGAAAAAAAAGAGTAAGTTTTTAAAGCAGTTTTTAAATTTGCTGAGAATAGGTCGTTTAACGCTTAAATAAAGCATTTTTAAATGTATATTATTCTAATTGTAAATCTAATCCTGATTGCAATATTTCAAATTTAATAACTTGGCATAATATATTTTGATAAATTTCTCGGCCAAGTAGAAGTCGGTTGCCAAAATAGTGCTTGACTTTTGTAAATTGCACCCCTCCCCCTCACACGTCAATGAGAAGAGAGACCTACATAGAAGCGGAACCAACTAGAAGTGCAATCAGCGTAGGGGGTTATAATTTAGTCCCCGGTCCTACCCCACTTTCTCCAGATATTTTACAGCTTCCTTACTTTTTTTACACCTTGCATAGTGTTTAAAAATCCGTGTCATTTTTCAATTCTTTGCATCATTTTAAAGTGCATACGCTTGAGATACATTTCGTAAAAAAGAGTCTTTTTTTTCTCCATAACATTCTCACAATCGGCTAAATAAAATGCGTATACTTAAAGAACAATAATATATTTTTTTAACAGCTAACATTGTTCAACAACGTAAAAATTGCATAAAAAACTAACAAATATTTCATTACTGTATAACAATAAAAAAGTACATATATTAAAGAGCTGTTTGATGGGAGCATGGTTTGTGAACTAGTTGTCCAAGAACAGAAGTAGAACAGAGCTGCAGGTTTGGATAGTTATTCCTGAAAAGATAGCTTTAAATATGTATAAAAAACATGAAAAAAAATCATACTATAAATATTACTTTAATGAACATGTCGTTAAAGACAAGAGCTACTGAATAAATGTAGAGCGAAAGTAGAAAATTCTTCCACTTTTCAAGAATTGAAAGTTTTAAACAACGAGGAAAACTTATTGTAAAGCATTTCGTAAAATATGGTACGTATTACAAGTAGAGATGTACTAACATTCTGCCGGGTTCCGGGACCAGGTGAATATATAAAATTTAACTCAGCCTAGTCATTTTTTTTTTTTTTTAACGTTAGTGCAGAACAATATAAAAATCTTATTTTTGTATAACAAGTATTTTTCAAAATAAAGTTCTAAAAAAGATTATTGCACGCCTATCTAAACTAAAACGTGTTTTTGACTTCAGATTTTTTAAACTACTAAACGCACGACAGCCAGTAGAGGGTCAAGGCCTACTGTGCCCATCTCAGTTTTCTTGACCTTGGGGTCTGAAGTGCAGATGTTCCGGTCAGGTGGTCAGCCAAACGCACCGTTTTAAAGAATAATTTTCTATAGTAAAATACAAAATTTGAGCGCAATCGATCAAATAGTTTCTGAGTTAACAAATTTTAAAAAATATCAGATTTAAAGTTTGATTTCATCAGATCTGCTAGAGCGATTTCGTTCAAATTTTCTATCTTACAATACAAAATTACATTCTTTAAAATGATGTAATAATTCTTGTACGTTGTAATTCAAGAAATTTTCCAGGCTATTATTAAATGATAAATAATTATTAAAAATTATTTTTTGCATGGAAATTATTTTTGAATAAACGGATTTTATAATAGCATGCAAACATTTTTTAAATTTTCGAGGTAGGGAGAAATACGCAAACAAAAAGTAAAATAAGCATAAAGGGGTCCAAATTTGCAACCGTTCTCGTGATCAAACTATTGGGACTCTATTTTCCAGATTACGTTTACTCTACATATTTTTAGGGTCCAGAATCCAAACTAGTCGAAAAAAATTTGTCTATTCAGAGAAAATGCGTTTCAGCGTATGGTTTTTGTCACTTAAAATATCTGTTGGTGGTTTACGTCGCACTAGAGCTGCACAATGGGTAATTGGCGACAGTCTGGGAAACATCCTTGAGGATAATCCGAAGACATGCCATCCCAATTTTGATCCTCCACAAAGGGGATGGCTCCCCTGCTTCGGTAGCCCGACGACCTGAGCACGAAGTCGAGCACAATCTTAAATATTTAAGCTTAAAATATCTACTGCACTAAATAGTTAGTGTATATTAAATGTAATTATTCGTTAGGACTTGGAGCCATCAAATTATAGACGTAAAACATCGATATGATCTAAGTTTTAAAGGGCGTTCCGTTTTATATTTAGCAAACTTTTACAGAATTTTAAATGCCGGGCAATGGCACTCACTCTTAGAAGATCATCAGAGCAGGAAATACCGAACAAAGGTTTCTTATTAAAAAGAAAAGTGTACAGAATTCTACGCACTTTCATTTTCCCCTGTATATATTCGCCAGATATTCTCAACATTAATGCTTTTCTTAATCTAACCTAATTGATTTCAAAATATCGAATAAGTAATAAAATATCAATGAATAAACTAACATCGACACGGATCTCACAAATATTTCGAATATTCACCTAACCAACTCTGTGAATGTTGACATTCACCGGTGAAATTCACGTATAATTGACGTCTGCTTAAAAAAAAAAAAAAAAGAGTGAAATAGTTTTACTTATCAGTTAATTAATTCCCTTCCTTCGGGAGGTGAATAACAGCATTAAGTTATTTCTTATTTTATTAAATTTCCTGTTCTGTCCCTTTCGTAATTCCACATTGTTTCATGATCCGCATAAATTACGGTAATATGAATGCGCAATCCGTAGCAATCCAATATTAAGTGGAGTTGAAAATCATCCTGAAAAAGAGAATTCAGAATAAGATTCCATTTAAACAAATTTCATTACTCAACTTAGTCTATTAACAGCGTTTGGACTTGGCTTAAAAAAATTTTGCATTATCATAAGCTTTCACTTTAAAATTAAAGTATCAAAACAAAAGATTTTGCACCAATGCTTAAACACCTGGACACAAAGAATAGTATTACTCTATGTCTAGTCACAAAAATTGGCCTTTATATACAGTAGACTTAAGGGGGGGGAAGGGAAATATGTTTAATTTCTTAAAAAAAAAATAATAATAAAAAATCCTTGCTAAGCGATTGAGATGAGATAAATCAACGACTGATTGGAGGTTACAGTAATACCCATTTCATTGTACAGTTCGCAAAATGAAAAACATACCACCCTTTAAACTTGAGCTAATGATAGGACTCAATCTTAATGGCTCAAAAGGGTGACTTTAAATATGTTAATTAATAAGTGTAGATATTTTAAATTGCAATATCAGACTAAAAAACGCACTTTCTCTGAATAAACATACGGATTCGGATTTCTGACCCTATCAAGATATAGTTTCTGAGAAATCGAGATGCAAACATGCCGTATATTTAAAATTTGATTTCTCAAAAACTATTCGACCTATTTCTCAAAAACTTTTGTATTTTACCATGTAAAATTACTTTAAAGTGATGTAAAAAACTGTATATCTTACAATTCAAAACTTTTTCGGCTATTATTAAATAAAAGAATAAATATTTACTGAAATTTAGTTTTTGCATTGAATTATCTTTGGGTAAACGAATTTTATAACTAAGTGCAAAATGTTTCAATTTGCTTAACAATTTCTCTAGATATGGAAAAAAAAGTACAAATAACATTAAGGGGTTCTGACCGCTCTCCTGGGGACCAAATTATCCAGATTGCGTCTACCCTCGATATTTTGGGGAACAGAAATTATTCGGAGAAAGTACGTTCTTGTGTATGATTCCGTAATTTAGAATAGCTTCTGCACTATTTATCTAGCATATTCCAAGTCACCCCCTCCAACCATTAAAATTGAGTCATACAACGTGAAAACCCGATCATTGGAATAAAAGATTATTCAGTTGTCCGTTTTTTTTGTTGTTTTTTTTTTGCACATTGTTTAATTGTAGCACGAGTACAGTGCAAAAATATTAATCTAAAATTCGAGTGAGATTGAATTAATCAGCATAATTGCCATTGATGTATGTATGATATGTATTAAATGTATGAGAGCAAACAACATGTTAAAAAGTTATTGTCTGTGACATCCTGTGGGATAATGCAATCTTTGTAATATAAGTGATCGTTTTACCCATTTATGGTACTCTACTGGACGTAAATATTCGTTGTTCAGAAACATGCTGTTCAGATCCATTTTCCAATCGGCTGAAACAGGGAACGCTACAGCTATATGAAAGTCTGAAAAATGTCGCAACTATCGTTCCAACCTGAAAGAAATGAAAATTAATGTCATTACACGCTTGATATTAACTTGCCAAACGTTTCACACAGGAGACAAAAGCATATTAAATGGCGCGGGAGAACATTAAATGGTTAACTAACTCACACAAGAGTTTTACGAGTTCCATTAGATCAATCTGAAAAATATAGAACCCCACCTTGCCACACCATGAAATAAAATAGTCTTTCTTGGAGGTAAAAAAATTTAAATTTTTAAAACAAAATAAACCCTATACCGTTTAGTGATAGTACATTATTTACGTTGCACTAGAGTTGCACAATGGGTTATCGGCGGTGATCTGGGAAACATCCCTAAGAAGATCCAAAGACATGCCATCTCATTTTTGATCTACAAAGGGGATGGTACCCCTTCTTCGGCAACCACGAGGTGTGACGCAGGAATTTTACGGTAGAACAGTTGAACGAGGACGGATACCGCGTACCCTCGCACAGGCTGATCAGAGTGGTCACCCACCCACTTACTAACCGTAGTCAGTGATGCTTCACTTCGGTATTCTACTGTGAGACGTTTGATCATCCTACAAAATGGCTTCACTCACCAGAAAGTGTGTTGTTCCACAGCCAGAATGTGCCTAACAAAGGCCTGTGGACTGATTTCATTTCTTGGATTGTGATGAGTGTCCTCTTGACGAGCTGTTCACGAGAGAAAGAGTAGGGTGTGAGAGCTCTTCACTCGTAGACAGTGGCCAACATTCTTCAAATTCAGAGTTTTGGACTTGAAGCAAGAAGTGAGTGACCTCTGATGGCAGATGAAAGCCACTCAGCCGACCATCCTCAAGTATGAAAGGAGCTGTCGTGAAACTGAAATGAAATCGATCATTAAAAGAATGCATCTTGCGACACACTTTTAAGATTGTTTATCGAAGATTCTTTCGTCTCTCTTCTTTTTTATTTTATAAGCGCCGTTGAACAGCCGAAGCCATTTTGAGTTTACGGCTGCGTAGCCTCGTCATGCTGAACCAAATCCAGAAGACAAGGGAACTCCTGGATCAAGTATTAGGAGAAATTGGCGTTGGTGAAAGACTTTTTGATGGAACTAACCTGCATTTGCTTTATAAATAGAGATAAGTACCACGAAAACCACTCACTGTTAGCCAGACGGCAAGGGGACTATAACCCATGATCCGTCTACCACTGAGGACATTTTACGTCACCACTGTGATCGGTGCAAGCGGGATGCGAAATCCGTATCAAGCATTGCTGGGATTCGAATCCGTTTCACCTCATTGAAAGGCGAACGCTCTATCCCATAGATTCTCAACCTTTTTAACGTTACCGCCCTCTTAAGCAGCAAAAAACATTTCATCGCCCCCCCCCTTTGTGAAAATTCAATTATTTAGAGCATGGTGATGGAGCGATGTGCGCTCAATTATAACAGACAACATTAAGCAATTTATTAAGAGTTACATTTATTTGGTTTTTTAAAAAAATAATGTGTACATTAACTCCATACTTTTCTCACTGCGGGTAATCGCAGTCTATTTGTTTAAATTAAAATAGATACGGTAATGAAAAAAACACAACAAAGAAGCCTATGCTTAAAAAGAATCCTTTATTCTTAATTAGATAATTAAAAAAACACTCAAAATAATTTTTTTACACTAAAAAGTAATATCAACGAAACATTAGTTTCTTAACGTTCGGTTCAATACATATAGTGAGGTGAGAAGTCCCCTCGTTGCACAATTTCGAGCTGATTTCTCTTTTTTTTGTGACAAGATCCATAACAGCACTGAAATCAAGTTCGACAAGGCAGGAGGAAGGGAAGTCATTTAAATTTTTTTTATCGATAGTCCGCAATCCAGGGTACAGGCTACCTTGAACTTGAAGCCAAAATTCTGCGAGACGATCACCACTTCAAAGTTTCATTAGTTGAAAGTTCGACCAATTCCTCATAAGTCTAAACCTCTGCTGTTTCAATATTCACAAAAGGGTTCATAACCCAATAACCCATTGAGGGACTTCCAGGGAACAAAACATCTTTAAAACGGTCAGAAAAGTTCACGTGCAAAGAGTCAATGTGTTGACAATATTATTGTGCATCATCAGAGCGACTTAGCTGAACTCATTCCAACCAAAATTCTGCTTCCACAAAATGAGTTTTTTCAGAAAGGCAGAAATGACTGACTTTTGAAGGGATCAAATTGCACTCGTCGCCATGAAGTTGTAAATTTATGCCATTAAATTTCGCAAATAAATCAGCCTAAATCTTTCTTAAATTCTAGCATTCTGTCTCTCTGTTTTAGAGGAACTCCATCACAGAGTCGAAAAGATTCCAAAACCTATTGAGACAGGTGCCTTCGGAAAGTCAGAGAATCTCAGTGTGTAGTAGCAAGCGATCGAATTCTTTATCATACACAGCTGTCTGAAAAATCAATCGTTGAGAGCATTACTGTGAATTTTGCTCACAGCAAACATGACATATTGCAATAATTAATGCAAACGGTCGCTGAGATTTTTACCTACTAAATGCTGTATGTGAATCACGCAATGAACAGCTAAAATATCTGGTATTTCCCTTCACAAAAGGGTGATAAACCCACGATGTCGATCCACCATTGCAGGAGCGCCATCACCCACTCACTGTATCGTTGTTTAAAGGGATATTTTTGATTGTATTGGATGTGGGTGGATGGTGTAAAACTGTTTCTAAAACTTCCTTGACAACCGGCAGTATCAACTCTGCACCGATTATATGAGCTTTCCCAGAATCAGCAATAAATTTTGATGTATTATAAGAAGCTATCGAACCATCGTCGAATTTTTGTGATGAAGTTGCTAGCAATCCTCACAGCAAAGTTTCATAAGACAAGTTTCTGAAGACCGAAGGTGTCTTCAGAAACTTGTCTTTGATGTTCGTGAAAAATGATAAATCTTCATTTCGCTTATGTTTCTTTAGTTCGCTTTGTTACAAAGTAAACACATGGTCAGTTAAAAGTTCAACAGCGATTGAACAAATCCAAACCTCAAGTCATTAGTTTTATCCCAAATAATTTAAAAATTTATCCCAAACGAGATGCGCCCAAGTATTACCTCAAGCAAATTCAGGACCTACACTATCCCAAACATTTTTTTTTTTGTAATAATTCAAATAAACACTAAATTATACTCTACTATGAAAAGCGTAACATAATCAAATAAACCTGGCGAATCTTATATTAAAACATTGACTCACAAAAATAATAAAAATATGGGAAAGAAAACATTTTTTTTTTTTTTTTGTAAAAAGAAAGCTAAAAAATTGACCAAGAGGAATCTAAATCAACTAAAATAACGGTCAGAAAATTTTCTAATTCGTAAAATACAGTAATGGTAAAGTATATAGATATTTTTTAAAGCAAATTAATGTTTATATAGTAAAAAGGTTAAAATACTGTGGAAAAAAAAAACATTGAATCATTTTAAACAAAGATCCAAATGATGGGTAAAGTAGCAATTCCAAATAAATTACTGATGACGTCTCCTCAGTTTGTATGGCCAGCATACAATAAAATTTATAAAAAATTGGGACTTAGTCCATCAATATAGAAACATTGATAAATTTTATTCAAAAATGCAATATTTTTTTATATGTAGAATAATGGAACAAAACACGCAACTTATTAAATTGTGTAAAAATAATATAACCAAAGTACCTCTTTTAATGAGATTAGCAATATTAATAAATATACATTATATTTGATAGTAACTAATCTTTTTTAAATCTTTTTAGGTTAAAAATAAATACAAAATAAAAGCCTTTTGAGACTATTTTATCTTATAAATATATATCATTTTTATCTCTACCAAATCGCATAGAAAAAATTCAAATAAGAACCAATGTTCTTCATTAATAAGTTTAATTAGTTACATCATTTCAAACCAAAAAACCTCACAAAAGTTATACTACGGCACCATTTGTTAGAGTTTAATTAAAACAAGATGTTGGTGCGAATTAAGTAAAGTTATTTGTGTATTATTAAAATTGATGGGTTGAAATCATTTGGTATAGTGCTTGTATTTGGATATAGTCATGATAAAAAGGGGTTAAATGATAGAATTTGTAATAAACAAATAAAGGCCGAAAATATATAAAAGGTAATTAAAATTAAATTAAGGGGGATGTGATCTTTAAGGAAAGTGGTAGTACTAAGCTAATGTGGGATAACAATAACCCAATAGGTTCAAAGGGTCACAAAGTGTGGAGGTTTGAACAAATTGGTAACACCAAATTTAGAAAAAGGGCATAAATAAGTTAAAGATTAAAGATAAATAAGATTAAGTCATGCTATATCCAAACATAAATATGTGATTTAATACAGTAAGCTGATGTTTCCAATATAATAATAGAAAGCATGCCCAAAACAATAAAAAAAGGTACTCACCACATATACAGGAAAAATGGCAACAACAAAGAGAAGACAATCATCATGAAAAGACGAAAGAAACACACGTTTTTAACTTGAACTGAAGATTTATTTAAGAAAAACAAACAAGATAACAATTCTTTAGACGTCTTTATAACAAATTTTTAACATTAGGAACGCCTTTGTTAGAAATGGGTGACGAAAGAAATGCCGTCATGCATGAAATAAGGAAAGCAAAAAAATATTTAACTATTGAAACGACAATTAATGAAAGACAGCTTAATTTAAGACGGTCTTTAATAATTTTTAAAAAAATTTAACATGCAGATGTATGATTTATGGAAATTGACTACAATTAAGGTTAAGAAAAAGAAAGTAAAAAAAAACAACGATCCCCTTGATACGGACCGAAGTCCGCATCGCGGAGAGGAAAAAAAAAAAGGGAACTTGCAAGAAAGAAGCATAAAAGGAGAATGTATTAAAAGTGACTTAAAAATTCCATAACTAGGGTAGCACCAGAAAAGTTACGGCCAATTAAATTTAAAGAGGCGGAGAGTTTGAAATTTAAACGAAAGAGATTGGTTAGTTAGCCCCCCTTAAAATAAAGGAAGAAATAGAAAGGCGTGAATAGAGGGGTTGGTTGACTTTCCCCACAGGAAGTGCGATGACCGCATGACCATGAGAAAGGTCAACAAGAAAGCTAAAATAAAAAAATTGCTAAATTGAAAGAAAAAAGGGAATAACGCTTAAAGAAAAATTAAAGGCTTAAGTAAAAGTAAAGATTAATTTGTCACTTTCATTAAGTGTAAATGTGACAATACCCAGGTAGCAAAAAGATATGATCTAATAACAGAAAGATGCAATATAATACTGCCATGCTAGAAAACGCAATACTCTTGAATCCTATCTTCTAATAGTAACATTCAAAATAATCATCTATTTCAAAATAATCATCTATTTCATTACTTTTGGTACAGTGCCACATTTTTGCGAAAGGTTATTCGCGATCGCAACGCTCGAGTACGCC